CGAACTAGACGATCGGGGAGACCTATTTTATAGAGCTTGTAGATGAGGCCTGTGTGCCAGACTCTATCGAAAGCTTTGGCTATATCGAAAAAGACCGCGATGGTCTTATGACGACGAGGATAGAAACCGCTGAGGATATATTCCACAATGCGGTGAACTTGTTGGGGACATGAGTGTTTGGCTCGGAAGCCGAATTGATGGGGAATGATAAGAGGGTCGCCGTCTGTGGGAAACAGATAGCGCCTCATACGAATTTGGATGACTCTTTCGAAGAGCTTGCCCATTGCCTTGAGGAGGCTAATGGGGCGATGGCTGGAGGGGGAGGTTGAGAGGCTTGCCTGGCTTGGGAATTCCAATCACAGTAGCCTCTTTCCACGTAGTGGGAAAATAACTAAGGTTGAAGCAGGCGTTGAAGATAATAGATAAAAAGGTTAACACCTGCTCGGGAAAGTGTTTTAGGGCTTGGTTGGAGATGCCATCCGCGCCCGGAGCCTTTTTAGGCTTAAGTCCTTTGATGAGGGATGAAATCTCATCATTGGACACAGAGATAGGTTCGGAGGCCGTGGGGGGTGAGTTCCGGCGGCGGACCTCATCCTCCACTGCCTGGACGTGTGAGGGGTCGACGGGTTGAGAACTGGGAGCGCATTGAGCGGCAATGCTATCTGCAAAGCACTCAGCCTTTTCCTCGTCCTCGAAGGCAACCGTGCCGTCGGGACGGGAGAGAGGGGGAGTGGTCGAACGGTGCCTGCGCATGATGTTTTATGGTATTTTTAAAATAATTATATAAAATAATTGTCAAAATAAAACGAGCTAAATTTTTTTTTGGATATTTAACATTACATGTATTTTGATAAAATAATTAAAATAGATATGTTTATAAGCAAATACATGGAAAAAATTACATTGAAGTAGACAGTTTTGGTGATTTTATAATATTATTTTATAATATTAAATCGAAATATTTTCGTAATTTAGGTTCTGCTATACACTAAAAGACTATATATTCCATTATAAAAACGCTTAAAATAAAATATTTTAGCTTATAATAATGGTTGTATTCAATCTGAAAGATAACTCTGATGCATATTTTCGTAAAACGCTGTGAAGGGATTGTCTTCGCCCTAAAAAACTGTCATTAAAAACTATGATTTTGCACTGCTATGTACTAAATAAAGACTTCATCTTTCTAAAGCCCTAATTTTCAGAAAATAATCTCCTCACGTCGTTACGGTATCGCCTTTGGAAAAACCATAAAACATGTAGTTTTCGACGCGAAACGCATATGCCCTCTTATGAGTTAAACATGCCTATGTTTAGGTTACATGCGTACAAGGTCTTATAAGCCTCTGTTACCTATGTAAAAACTATAACAATATCAAAAAAAGTATTCAGATCACATTAATTTATTTCCATACTGTCGAAAATAATCTAATCTGGTCACTTTTTTTTAAATACTTTAATTTTCTTATTTAAAGGGCTTAATATAATTACTTTGAGTAATAATTATAATTTCATGAATTTTTTTACTGCATAAATCTATTTTTTTTTCCATTAGAAGTATAAATGTAGCAAAGTCGTACTGAAAACCACATAAAATAGAACTATTTTCAAGTAAATGAGAAATAAATAAAATTAAAAATGTATATTTTCGTACTTTTTACCTATAATGCCATCTAAAACAAGAAACGCATGAAAATTCTCTTATTCCGCTGGGTTCATAGATAATACCTATATACCCATTGACTTACATATTACTAGCGTAAGAACCGGGCCGACCGAACAACTAAAACGGACCAGTGCGCTCTCCCTAAAATAACAGTTTAGGGCCAACGCGAATCGTTCGACAGTGGTGCGCGCGCAGGACAGATTTGTCTGTCATAAATATGTCTAGTTGCGTGGTAAAAGACTGCAAAAATTACGATACAAAGATTTAAAAAAAACATGGGATATCATATCATCGGTAAATAACCTTATATTAATTTTTGTTACAATTAAATTATAATATAAACGCATTTTTAATATTAAAATGTAAAAGGACCCAATAATAATACAAGTCGACCTTTAGGTAAAATTATGGTAACTTCGCTTAGATACTATATACTACAAACTATGAAATTAATAATGGTACAATTAGGATAATTATACTACGAAATCCTACCCTGGTTACGTCGTGTTTTGATATGACTTGTATAATGATACGCTCCTTTTTCTTGTATGAAAAAGTTATTAGTAAAATATTTAGATGGCTATCCTTCTTTTTGAAATCATTGTATATACCAGGCTGGGATTTTTCGGCGTTCAGACGTGTCAGGTGCTGCTCAACGTTACTTTACCTCTCCCTCGCGCAGCTCTTGTGAACTTAGCGGAGCATATCGTGAAAGTTGCTCTACTTAAATATGTTATTTTTTATTTAATCGTACATATTAGTTCGTTTTTAGTGTGTTAGTGCATTAGTGTTTATTAGTATTAGTGTATTATTTTTTTTACGTGGTAGAGCCACGCTGCAGCTATATTATGGTTGTAGCAGGAATGGGTCGGCTCTACCGGGGAAAGGACCACGCTCTTTCAGAATACCAGCGTAAAATAACAGCTTAATGCTTGCTGTGTTTCGCATGGTGAGTGCAGAGACCCGGAGACACTTTTTTACTGGAAACGAGGCATTCCATCTTAGTCCTCAGAGGTGATAAATCATTTACATTTTGATTCTTAATCGAGGATAAATGTAGATGTCTATGAGCCACAGCATCCACTTACCATCAGGTGGACTGTGTGCTCGTGTGTCAACCTCATTATATAAAGAAAGGTTAATTGACTTTGACTTTTATATTTGGTGAACTTCAATTTATTACCAAAAGAAATGAACGGAAAAAGATGGATAGAAAAAAGAAGAAATATCCTTATGTCAGTAAAAATAAATGTAAAGCAAGAGTTGAAGTGATGAATGAAGAGTTTTGGTAAACAAAAATTCTGCCCCCTTTAACATAGTTTTATCACAGTTGTTTGCTACCAGAATTAATTGATTCGCGCCTTGAACGTTCTATGCCGATAAAAGTCCCACCGTATATAATAGAAGCAATAGAAAATAAAAAACTAAAAAAACCAAAAAGTTAATCCCTACACAATATTACGCCACTCAAAAAAATTCCCTTACTTTTGATGCTGCAGCAAACTAAATAAATAAATATTTGTGTATTTAGTTATTCTTTTGTTTGATTTTTTCTGTGTCTTCTAAATAACTTCTCTATACAATTTCTCTTTTTAAGAAGAAAAACAGGTACAAGCGTTATTTTTATGTGTACAGTTTGTATAAATAAATCATATAAATCCGATAGAAGAGAGGAGCTGGAATCATAGAGCTGCACCACATTTAATACAAGAAAATTTGAAAATAGAAAAAAGAATACTGATTCTTCATACAATTTGTAAGAGGCAATATTTTTTTCCTTTGGTTGTATATACCCTTTCTAAACCTACAACCCGTATAAATATTACTAAAAACGACATTTATGAAATATAAAAATTAAAAAAATTATACTACCACAAAAAATAGTAAAAGAAATAATAAGTTATATATTTAATGAAGTATAGCGATCTTCACCTGTGATCTTGAACGTATTTATGCAAGGGGGAGAGCGCCACCTCTAATGGCTGGGAAAGTAGGTTGCTTCGTTGCGGAACGGAATGAAAATTATATTATTATGAGAAGTTACGTTAACTGTTACGTTTGGATTTACTTCGATTGAGTGTTATTGTAAAAACAGTTGTCTTTGTGCAACCATATTGATACGTTTTAATACGTGTAACACTTTTTTAGTTAAGTTTTGATTTATCGAGCTCATGCCTAGTCGCCAGTATTTTACAGTATGTTGTTATTCGCGAGCGTTGAGCCGACCCAATTCTTTCTATAGACATAATAAAACTATATATATATATATATATATATATATATATATATATATATATATATATATATATATAGTTTTGAAGGTAAAATGAAAATAAAACACAAATAGATATATGAATACACTTTATTTGTCCATGTGCTTGCATTGATATGTAACAAGCGATATATAATACTAAAGATATATACAATCGGTAAAATAAAATTCATAATTCTGTCAAAGAAACTATTTGAGTAGATCGAAACTAGAAACTACATTTACAAAACTCGATCACTTTTATAAGTGCCTCCATAGGCACTTTAGTCACCGCTAGATGACAGTGTTGACACCCTGGAGAGGTTGCCTTTGCTATATACGAATAAGGCTTGAGGCTTAACAAAAACTGCACTGGAAGTGTAGCTGGCTACTAGCTCGGGTTCTAGGTTCGATTCGCAACCGGAATAAACATTGGTTTAAAAAAAATGTTATTTTTGATCCCTTAGCATATTGACGGATCGGATTAGATTCAACAGAACCAGAGGGCCTTCCGCTTTGCACTTACTTACGGCACTATAATATTTCCTGTGCAGTTGTCAAATTCAAATAGTATTTGAAAATTATCACAGTATTGGTAACAGATAAAATCCATCTCCCTTTCTCTCCTTGTATCGTAAGAGACTATAAAGATACAAATGAAGTTTTCTTCAATAGAATAAGGGTGACAAACGAGCACACAATCCACCTGATGGTAAGTGGACGCTGTGGCCCATAGACCTCTATATTTAATCTCGATTAAGAATCAAAATGCAGATTTGTTACCCCTGAGGCCTAAGATGGAACGCCTCAATTCCAGTTAAACGGGTATCCGGTTCTCTACACTCACCATACGAAACACAGCAGTATTAAGCTACTATTTTACGCTGGTATTCGGTAAGAGCGTGGTCCTTCCCCGGTCGAGCCGACCCATTTATAGCTGCAGCACAACTCTACCATATAAAAAAATAGATGGGCAGCTGCACCTTATTGGGCCAATTGGCATCCCAAATATGGCTAGTGTCAATTTTAACAGGGTCTGCCTCCTTTGGCTTATATTCTGGCTTAAATTTGTTATAACAGTATTCAATCGCCAACTTCAATCTTTTCGTCCATTTTAAACCTTTTCGTGCTTGGGGAGTTTAAGCCATTTAATAATGTGACATCCTCCGTTGAAAAACCAACTCTCCGTCTTTTGAGGGCTCTTGTCTCTTTGCTACTGTCTATACTACTTAATCTTCCACTGCAGTCCGAGTCACTAGATATTCCGTTTGTTGCATTCTTGATTATCAACAAATCCTTCTCTATCTCCGTCAGTTCCCTCGGCTTAGAGCGGGAGGCTCTACTTTTAACTGGATTGTTTTTTATAGACGGTGACAACTCTATGTTTTTACGTTTTTTGTATGTACGTTTTACGGGCACCTCTTTTCTGTTCTTCTTTGGTTGTGGATCAGTCTGGAAATTATTTATTTTTATTAACCTTTAGAACATGGAGATTAGAGAACAGGAGAAGGATCGCCGTAGAAAATAGTGTCTGTGTGTATAATTTCTCAAAACATTTTATTTGTCAACAACATCTTGCAATTGTCGTTTCTCTAGCGCTCACTTGACCTTAATACAAATAACTCTATAATTTACTTGTTAATAATTTTTATTTCTGGGTAAGAACATTGTAATGAATGACTCTAAGTTATATTTTCTTCATTTAAGAATAATATCGTCTTTTTCCTAACCTACCATACTCTTTGGCTCGACCACAGATTCGATCACAGATCGACCACTAAGTTGGTCCAATAATGTCATAAGTAAGTTATTAATAAATGTATTTATTTTTAATCATTACAGCTTATAAATCCACTACGGAACACAAACTTCCCTCGTAGAATACGTCATATGGCTTTTAGCATAGTTGCCAGTTGCCACGATAGGCATGCGAGTTGGCAACCGCATTTTTATTGTAATTAAGTTTTGATCAGGAAAATTCTGCTACTGATCCCTGATTAAATTTCCCTGTTATCTCTTACGGCACCTACAAGATGATTTGGGGTGGTGAATTCTCTTACCTGCCGGCATATAAATGTAAAGGAAATTTATTTAATCCTTTAATACAAATCTCACATCAGCTTGATAAGTTATCAGTGATAACAGTCCACTGTTAAACCTGCGCCATTCCATTACAGTGTAATTTTCTAATCTTCAAGATTGATAGATAAGAGTGACTTTAGTAGAATCACCTCAATCTATAGCGCTGACCCTCCCTATGTATAACATAGTTTTACTACTAACTGTCGGAGGTCACGAGATCTCTTAAAGTAAATTATTGAGAAGGGATATGTTTGGTCAAAAACAGGTGAAAAATTAAATGTTTTTTATACATATATAATATTTGCAATAAGTTATCTTAATATTATTGATGAAAAAGTATATTAGGTGACTCTAAATGATAGGGTTAAAAATTGCATGATAAAAGAAAAGTATGGTTTACAAGATTTTGTAACCAGGATTAAGAAAGAAATGCTTCGGCGGTCTGTACATGTATAAAGAATGTATGAGGAAAGAGTGACAAAGCTATTTATACAGCAGAAGTGAATGCCAGAGTCGGCAAGGGAGCCCTAGACGAAAGTCTATCGACCTAACCTAATTGGCGATATATTGAAGGTTGTCCAAATCAAGAATACCGTTTATAGAAGAGCATTACACATACATTCTCGTCTGTTGATGATATTAATGTGAAAGAAGCGAGACAGATGCGTCAGGATCGTGCAAAATGGAAGACCGCAGTCTCTGCTTACCCTTCTGGATTACAAAAGCGTAAGCGTTCGTATCAGATTTATGTTAGAAGTTTTAAAAAAATCGAATTCGCGCCAATTTTACGCTGACCACCAAATCGACGGCGGAAAAATGGATGTCCTAAGTGGGTAAGATGTTCGCGCCATAAAGAGCCCCCTGCAATAATAACAAAGTAGCGGAAATCGTACAAAAAACCCTACCAGAAATCTGAATGCGTAAAATTATGAAAAAAAATATAACAACAATAAATATCAAAAACAGTTGAAAACAATAAATACACAAACAACAATTAACAACGAGGTAACACTACAATTAACAAAAATAAACTAATTAAAAATTTGTCACTAAAATCTATGAAGTGTACGGTAGTCGAATGATACGTGCGAACCCAATAGACGACGAGAATCAGCTGACGAACCAATCACGTTGAGCGTCAGCGTGGTCAACGTCATATCGACCAATAAAAAGTGTGCTCACGATTGTGCCGGCAATTATAAATTAAGTTAATAAAATCCGTAAAAGCTATTTTTTTTTTTCAACTTAAAGACTATTTTTCGAGTGGAAATATAGAATCCGATATCGATAGACTAAATAAATTTGAATCTTGTTTTGAAAACTAAAAATCTTACTTTGAGAAACAAAACACGATGACGGTTTACAGCTCTATATGATTTAACAAAACGGTGTCGTCACTCTTCTAGGTGCACTCTCTGGTACACGTCCACTCTTCGTTTAATCCTAGTCGTAAATGACCCATTTGCTCTAGCAAGGTTTGCAACTAATTGTTGTTTTTAAAAATGTCATTGGCATTTATTAATTTGTAATAAAGTTGAAATTATGTGTTCTTAAGGTGAAGTAGGCGCGAAAAGCAGATTCTTCACGCTTTATATGGACTGTTTGGTCGGCCCGCGCGCTATTTAATCGCACAATATTTATTTGATACTTTTTTTTAAAAAGATATATACTTTTTTATTGAAAAATAAACCCATAATTCACTCACGTATTTACTGGTGAACAAATAGACTAAATTTAATTGAAATTGATTTCATTACATTCGAATGAAACAGCTTTTTCACTTAGTGGACGTACCTAAAATTGTAGATTTTAAGGAAACTGCGATCTTTTTTCTATCGAGCCAAAATGTGTCTATCGTGTTTTGGCCAACATAATTCACTAAGAAAAATCTTAAACTTTCATAATGAATTTAAAAAAATGTGGATTCGTAGTTTTTAATGACACAAAATTGCTTTTCTGCATACCTACCTACGTGAAAAATCTGCTTTTGGCGCCCACATCACCTTAAGGACCAGACTACTGTCAATCGTTTTTGTAATGTACAATAGGATTGTTTCCGAAGTTTTCCGATGCACAATATTTATTCTGAAGTACTATAGCAAAGTTTGGGTGTTTTAGTCCGGTACATTAAATTTTTACCTGCTTAGGCTTTGCTCCAATGTATCCGGAACATCTCTTCGCACCGCACAAACACCGCTTCTTTTCGATACCCGCACATTGCAAGTTGTAGTTGAATGTGACTTCACTATTCTGTAATAGAAAAGATAAAATCTGTGCAATTTTTTTATACAAAATAAGAGTAACAAACGAGCACACAGTCCACCTGATAGTAAGTGGATATGTAGCCTATTTATATCTATCTTTAGTTAAAAATATAACGCAGATGCATTACATAGGCTGCACTAAAAGTATCGGGAATGGAATATTTCCACTGTTCCTGTCATATTAAAATCTTTTTAATTGAAAACTCCTTGGTTTTAAAAATCAAATACCATTTATTTATTTAAAAAAAAGATTCTCGGTCTTGTCACAAGGTTTTGTCAAACTTGTTTAGTCGTTGAGAAAATGGGATTGACTCGAGAAAATTCAAGAGCGACGATTTATTATGACTTTCGAAGTGGTTTAACACAAAAACAATGTGTTAACCGGATGATTTCTGCACTTGGTGATGAAACTCCATCCAAAACCACAATTTATCACTGGTTTGCTGAATTTCAACGTGGACGTGCCGAGCTCAGTGATGATCCCCGTCAAGGTCGTCCAAAAACTGCAGTCACCCAAGAAAACGTTGACGCTGTGCGTAAGCTGATTGAGGAAGATCGACATGTGACATACCGCGAAATTCAGGCAAATATAGACATTGGCATGAGTCAAATACAAATAATCTTGCATGAACAATTAGGTGTAAAAAAGTTGTTTTCCCGATGGATACCGCATTCGCTCTGTGAAGAGCAAAAAGCGGCTCGCGTTACTTGGTGCGTCAGAACTCTCGAAAGATTCCACGCAGGATCCTCAAATGATGTATACAACATCGTATCAGGTGACGAATCCTGGATATACGCGTACGAACCCGAAACAAAAAACCAGTCACGAGTTTGGGTGTTCGAAAATGAGTTAAAGCCAAAAAAAATTGTTCGTTCACGGAGTGTTGCAAAAAAAATGGTGGCCACTTTGTCTCCAAAACCGGCCATGTTACGACTATTCCTCTTGAGTGACAAAGAACGGTTAATGCAGAATGGTATGCTAGCATTTGTTTGCCACAGGTCGTTTCTGAACTCCGTAAAGAGAACTGCAACCGCCGTATCATCCCTCATCACGACAATGCGAGTTCTCACACCACACACAGAACAAAAGAGTTTTTAGAGCAAGAAAACATAGAATTATTAGACCATCCGCCGTACAGCCCCGACCTAAGCCCTAATGATTTCTATACTTTCCCTAAAATAAAGAATAAATTGCGTGGACAGAGATTTTCGTCACCTGAAGAAGCTGTGGACGCCTACAAAACGGCCATTTAGGAGACCCCAACTTCCGAATGGAACAGTTGCTTCAATTGGTTCCATCGTATGGAAAAATGTGTCAAATTTCGCGGAGAATACTTCGGAAAGCAATAAATACATTTTTAAATAGTAATGTTGTGTCACTTCCTTGATTCCCGAAATTTTCAGTGCCGCCCTCGTATCACCTCTGTGTACTAAGATGGAATGCCTCATTTCCACTAAAAAGGGCCTCCAGTTTTCTACACTTACCATACGAAACACAATGAAACATAAGCTGCTATTGAACACTGATGTTCTGTGAGTCCATGGTCCTACCCTGGTCAAACAGACCCATTTGTGCTACAACTGTAATACAGCTACAGCGTGGCTCTACCACGTGGTTAAGTGTATAGCGAGATGGTTTGTTAGATGTTGTTGTGCCCTATCCGATAGGGGACGTAATGAGTGCTCGAAATTCAATCCAAACTTTTTACAGTGTAAATATAACATAATAATCCGTCAAGAATTTGAGACATTTTTCATCTCCTATCGGGGCAAGATTTTGAGTTTCTTTTTTGGCACTAAGCCAATATATATTGTTGATATGAGTCATTAACCGATCGAAAGACCTAGGATATCTTCTACCTTTACGATTCTGCAGACATTCTGTTATCAGAAAGCTTGTCCAGTATAATAATGTCCTCCAGACCGAATCTCGGTCACGGCAGCCAGTCTCAACCGAGACTAGCTATCTGCGCACGAGAGTATTATAGGGACTATATTAAGTTTTACCAAGTAACAACAACGGCAAATATAAATTATGCAACATGTAACAAAAACTCTGTGGTTCCCGTTAAATATGTTATCAGAAGCAATATTCAAACATATAGAAATAACTTTTTTCAGAAAAGTAGACCATTAAAATTTTTATTTTTATTGTATGTGGTTTTATTATCTCTGCATTGTACGAGGAGCTAGAGTATTATCAAAGACTTCGCTTTACACTTTTTCTTTTGTCAGTTTGGGGTAAAACCACATACGATTTGCAAATAAAAATTTATTTTAATTAATTATTTTAAAGGTCGAGTTTTCTGAAAACAAAATATTTCTATACATTTGAATATTAATTCTGATGACGCACTTAACAGGAATCACTGTGTGTTTGTTACATGCTGTATATGCATAGTGTATGCGCAAGCACAGGTGCACTCTCTATTCCTTCACTCTCGTCGGCCACGCCCCATTGGACGGCAATCCGAGACTACCGGAGAGATAAGATGCAGGAACAACGGATTTACGTGTATTTCCATGACATAGGGGATGGAAAACCGCCAACTTCTTCGCTCAGGACGTTAATAAGAATTTCTTGATAGAAAAACTCAATGACTGGACTTCAACCAGACCCGGGATTTGAACCTAGGACGTCTAAGTTAGTAGCCGCTTTTACGACCAATAGACCAACAATAGAAATAATTACAAACTGTATATGGCATTTCGCCTTCCAGGCTGACAAAATAATTATACATGGGATATAATATTATGCAGGTATGTACTTACTGCAGGTATATCATGTAGTGCAAACAATCCCACTCTAACGTCCCCCAATACGGTCCACTTTTGAGTCTCACAGTTGGGCTCACAACAATGATTCATAAACCTGGAATAATAATAAAATTTGTATTTTCCTTCCTTCTAAGATCTATACTAGTTAAAAATCTTTGCTAATTAGGTCTACATTTGTCTTAGCCTCCTCGCCTCCTTAATCCTAATGCAAAATACAGATGATCAAGATGGTCTATTGCTGGAAAGAAAGTGACGAAGCTATTATCCGCTTTTTTGCTTACGATAACATTTTTTAATACAATAAGAGTGATGAACGAGCACGGTCCACCTGATGGTAAGCGGATGCTGTGGCCCATAGACACCAACATCTGTCGTCATTAGACTCAGGAGTAGTTAACTGCACCGGCTCATTGTGGGTATGTTCCAAAATAGAATCCTGTGTACTTTCCAATGCAAATGACGTCATGAATCGACGCTATACTGGTGATTCGTTCCAAAACATAGGACAGTATATGACGTCATACATTTACACCATATTGGAAGTGTTGACGATTTTGTCATTTTGTGCTCCAAAAATTATTATATCTTCCTAATGGAGATACCAGCAATTATTCTATAATTTTTTGTATTTGAATAAATAAAAACAAATTCTGGCATACTTCATTCAGCGCACACTCAATTAAAAATTGTTTTATTGTGGCCGGATATCCGACGCAATATGGCGGCGGCACGCCAGTACAATATAGTGTCATTTGCATTTGCCAGTGTACTGGGTTGTATTTCAGAACATACCCTGTGTTAACTCAAAATTACACCATGGCGCAACAAATTTGAAACACAGCTCTCGACTCAAGTAAAATAAAATGTAGAAAAGAAAGATTACCTACATAATAGATACTATGTATCTTACATTTCACGGAGTTGCAGTTTATAAAAATAATATAAAATGCCAACATTATAACACCTTTCGAACTTCCCGGTCCTGCACTGTGCACCAACTCATTTAAAGAGGTGAGGTTAACACAGCGCAGTGAACTGAGTTAGCTCTATTGCCAAGCGCAGTGTTAGACATGTCTAATCGTCATTTAAGAATCAAAATGCAGATACGTTATCACTCGACTAAGGCGTCACTCACCATACAAAGCACAGTATATTATGGTGTTATTTTACACTTATATTGTTCTTATAGGATAGGGTGACAAACGAGCACACAGTCCACCTGATGGTAAGTGGTTGCTGCGGCCCATAGACATCTACATCTATCCTCTATCCAAAATACAGCTGCGTTGTCACCCGTGAGGACTAAGATGGAATGCCTAGTTTCAAGTAAAAAGGGTCTCCGGTTCTCTACACTCACCATACTAAATACAGCAACATTAAGCTGCTACTTCTCGCTGGTATTCTGTGAGAGCGTGGTCCTTCCCCGGTCAAGCCGCCCCATTCGTGTTACAACTATACTACTAATATAACTGCAGCATGGCTCTACCACGTAAAAATATTGTATGATATATGGTAATTGGTCTTACCATATTAGTAGCCCCAGTCTGCAGTCACGATACAGTACCGTGGATCAGCCATGTACAAGATGGGCATCTTTCTCTGTATTTGTTCTTATACTTTTGTTGACAAAATTCGATAATTTTTAAAGTTAACGCCCATGTGCGAAATTAGCCAATAAATCATCATTTTTATTCAACAGTGTATAAATGTTTTTTGCCACAAATAGCTCCTATCTTTGTCTTTTTGGTTTGAACAATATACACCTATATATACAGATAATAACAAACAACAAATCCCAGGTTCAAACCTTTAAAAAGAGCGAGATTATACTTGTATATGCAATGTTTTCCCATGGTCAGCTCTACGTAGCTTGCTCGCTAGTTTTTAGGGCTCAAAATCTGCACGTTTTCGCCGAGTGAAATAATTTAAGTACTGCAGTAGAGCGTTCTGCAACTTTTAGTTAAATTTAGTAAAAAAAAAGATAATAGAGTGGAGCCGTGAGTAGTAGTCATTCTTTTATAATCTTACAGTACACTTCACCCGCCAGTATCAGTCGGCCTATACCAACTACCAATATTTTATTAGGATTGCCAACTCAGTAAATAAAAATTTCAGGATGCTGAGAAAAAATTATATATATATATATATATATATATATATATATATATATATATATATATATATATATACAATTTTTATATTTTCATTACCCACAACTTTTTATTTAATAAAGAAAACAATTGTAATGTTGTTATAAATTGCGACAAGTGAACTTAGTCACTTTGTTGGCCAACAAGCAAATTTGTAGTTTAAGAAATTTATTTCTAATAAGAATAGAACATTCATTTGCCTGAGAAACACAGGATTGACTTGCAATTTCCGTTGCATACATAAATTTTGTAGAAGTGTGATTATAAAAAAAAAACATAAAAAGGTTTTAATTTTTATGTTATGTATTTTAGGATTACGTTAATTAAAAAACTGCTTGTGAAATGTAAGTCATATTGTAATTCCAAGATGATAATACATAAGAAATGAAAGTTCATGAAAGTAAGAAAGTCTTTAAAGATAATCTAATATAACTTATTTACCATTTCCTATTAATGTAACATTGTGTAAAATTAGAAAAATTGACAGCGTAAAAAGTTCTAATTTTTGCTCTACACATCATAATGGTAAGGATTTTAACTGCACAAATGATAGATCTTTTTATCCAGACCATTCGAAAAGAGTTGGCAACTCTAAATCTTACTAGCGTTATTCTGACCTTAGTGTAACTTTCATGCATTTCATGCAACAGTGAAACAGGTCGAATTCAAACTCTGGACACCAATCTTGTACTAGAACAATCAATACACTTGACCATTAGTTCCCAATATGTAGCAATTTAAGGAACAGACAAACTTAAAATCCTAATTTCACATATTATGAGACCATTAACAAGCACACAGCTGGACTTAGGCTATCCCATAAAATAATTAATGGTTATAACATAAATCTCGAAGAGAGTTTGGAAAGATTCAATGTTGTATATACCTTGTCACTGGTCTGGGTATATCTGGCGCAATCTATACAAGATGTTTATACCAACATCAATCAAAAAAATAAAATCATAACTCATATTTTATCGACGCGTCGCTTAGCATCCAAAACCGTAATAGGAAATGTATACCTGGATAACCGAGCGTTGCTCGTTTTTTTTTTTTTTGAAATTACATTTAGATACAAATTACATACTGATGAAACATGAATAATATTTTTTGATCTTATTGACATAATAGAAAAAAACTGAACTGGTTATATGAATAAAAAATCATGAGTGCAATTAGTTTAATTAAAATATTCGTATTTTTAAAAAATACTAAAAAAAATATTGTAGCAGTTTTCATTGCCTAAAAACATTTTCTAAAAATAAATCCTAGCTAGATCGATTTATTGCCCCCGAAACTCCCTGGACACCAAATTTTATAAAAAAAAATGGGAGCCGTTATATATATATATATATATATATATATATATATATATATATATATATATATATATATATATATATATATATATATATATAATATATATATACAAAAATTGCTCGTTTAAAGGTAGGATAAAATATATTGAAAAACTTTTTTTTAAAACAAGTGGTAAAATTAAATAAATTGTACAACTGACTTCAATACGACCGAATCGATGTATTCCGAAGTCAATTAAATACGCATTATTTAACCCATATATGCCCCGTGATTCGAAAACGAAACAAGATTTTGTACTTTCGTAAATCCATTGGAAATCCTTTGCTAGCGCAGTAAAACGCAAAAAATTGCCATCTAGTGCAAGGCTACGGAACTACCTTTTGTTTGCAACGAAGCGTTTTGAGTAGCGTTGACACTTGATTTAAATAGTCAGTAGTGCAAGTTGTGTCCTGTTTTACGTCGCGCAAAAATCATGTCGTCTCCCAAAAAGAAGTAAGTACTTGTTCAATTGAGTGAAACTTTGTACTATTCAAAATTTTGTAGTAATTTTAGGTAAATAATGATCTTATTCGTATTTTTAAAATAAGTAAATACTATTTAATAACTACTTTCGTGTTTCGAAAACGATACGTTGGGCAAATATACAGGTGAGACTTTTACTAAATCTGTTTTTATGTTTTAGGTGGAATATGTGGTTAACTACAAATGAAATCGTTGATATTATCAATGATTCAGCTTCGGATGATGAAGCAACAGCAGCTGACATTTGTATCAACCCTCCGGGTGATGGACTTGTGTCAGATTCGGACTCGGAGGACGAAAGAAACGTAAGTTTTGAAAATTTATCACGTCGTCAACTTTTGGCACCTGCTGAACTGACACTACATGGAAAAAAGTCAGAAACGACAGCGAGTCGGAAGAAGAAGCTTTAGGCCCAATTACGTCACGTACTGTAACTGACTCACGGTCTTTATCAAACCGTAGGCGGAGCCGGTCATTGATAGATAATCCTCCCTTTCCACCTCCACCGCCACCTCGATCGCCTAAGGTAGTCCGAAAATGGGTAAAACGAGACTTATCCCAACTTCATGATGAGTGGATTGCACCATTACCTAGATCAGTAATTACCTTATCCGAAGCTTCAGAACCAGTTGATTTCTTTGAATTGTTTTTTAGTCACGAAGTTATCATGCACATTGTTCGTCACTCTGTTATTTATGCAGTTCAAAAAAGGAAACCCAGGGTTTACCCTCTCTGATAATGACATTTATTGTTTCATCGGCATTTTGATATCGACCGGATATTCTCCACTGCCGCGACGGCGAATGTATTGGGAAAGTAACGAAGACAAACACAATATCTTAGTGGCGAAATCCATGCGAAGAAACCGATTCGAAGAAATTCTTCGGCATTTCCATGTGGTCGATAATACCAACCTTTGCCCTAATGACAAAATTGCTAAAGTCCGCCCACTTTTTGATTTACTCAATAAAAAGTTTCTGCAATATGCCGTAATCGAAAAGAACATCAGCATAGCGAGTCTATGATACCTTACTATGGTAGACACAGATGTAAGCAGCATATAAGAGGTAAGCCTATTAGATTTGGCTTCAAAACATGGATTGCAGCCTTGCCCTTAGGATATTGCTTATACGCCGACCCATATCAAGGCCGCTATGAAACTTTTAGTACCGGGTTAGGACAATATGTTGGGCTAAAATTGATGACCGAGATTCAGAATGTCTACAAAGAAACAAGATTCTCAGTTTTCTGTTACAACTTCTTCACAGGATTACTTTTGATAACGGCAATGAAAGAAAAAAATATTTTAGTGACAGGTACAGTACGTAGTAATCGCACTGACAAGTGTCCTTTGAAAGATGAAAAATTATGCAAGAAGGAACAGCGAGATTACCATGACAGCCGGCTCGATCTAAACAGCGGCATCTGTGCAGTGCGCTGGAACGATAATATGTAGTCACTCTGTTATCCAGTGAATATGGTGTGGAGCCTATACGAACTGCAAGGAGATACTCAGCTGCTCAAAAGCAAAGAGTAAATGTACCACAACCCACGTTGTGCACCAATACAATCGTTTTATTGGGAGGGGTTGATCGATTAGATGCAAACATTGGTACCTATCGAATAGCAATTAGGGGCAAAAAATGGTATATCCCGTTACTTTTGTGGTTGATAGACGTTGCGGTCAACAATGCTACCCTACTAGCTCGTAATTTCTCCAAAGATATAGATACGCTGGAATTTAGACGTAGCATTGTCAGAACCTTACTTCAAAAATATGGCAATGATAAGCAGCATCCGGGACCTAGCAAATGGGTATCTACAAATGTACCTATATCAGTACGAAAGCATAACGCTGAGCACATGATCGGCAGGACACCAAGTAGACTGCGATGTGCCTATTGCAAAAGCCTTACAGTCACTTTTTGTCAAAAATGTAAAATAAATTTACATTCTAAATGTTTCTCTGTATTTCATTCTTAATTTTATATTGCAATTTAGTGTAAAAATAGTAATAAGTAATAAATAATCTCATTATACATCTTTGTTTTAATTACCGATAACGAATGTAGGATATTTGCCCATTGTTTCGTTTTCGAACACCCCTAAAATACCTACTTACCAAAAATATTATTTACTAAAATTAGTCAATACTGATATAAGGACTTATCAGCATAAACATATCTTGAAATAATCAAAATCAGAATTCAAAAATAGTTCTGGGCATATATGGGTTAAGAATAACTCAAAAACTAGTGGTCAGATATTGATCAAATTTATATGGAACCCTACAAGAGAAGTAAGTACCAGCTTTCAAATAAAAAAGCATCATCAAAATCTACCTAGAAATAAGTTCTAAGGTAACACACATCCAAAAAAACATACAGTTGAATTGAATACCTCTCCATTTTTGAAGTCAGTAGAAATTACTGAATGTAAAATTATATTCCCATATTTACTTCCAAGAAATATGGTAGTTACAGAAATACTAATTTGGTATGGTACAATCACATTTCGCCAGTAGCATGCCAATAAATAATTTTATAATTGTAGGTCTAGTGTATAAATGTTCTATGAATATCTATGGTTAATTAAAATTTCATGATATATTTAAGAATAAAAAGTTTTTTGTGTGTCAATTAAAATAGCTCCTTCCTAAAATGGCGGGTTTGGATGCTGAATGATCTAGCCAATAAAAAAAACATTATACCGTCGTCTATCAAAGTCATAGGCGAGATCACCTTGGTGTTTCCATATAATAGATGTACTGATGAATCCTCCTATGCAGACAATTATATGCCACTTTTTTGGCAAATCACAAATTGTAACAATTTTGCTACACAACGCCATTATGATCTTCAAACCACCTCCCAAGGGTAATGATTATGGCAAATCTTACATACAATGGGACAAGCCCACATCTTACGGAGTGATGAAGAAGAATAGAATAAAAAACGTAATTTTTTGCATTTTCCTTTGCAGTTTAGCTCATTCCTACAATCGCGGGTTTGGATGCTGAACGATCTAGCAAATAAGTAATAAGGTCGTGAGATTACCTTGGTACTCCCTTATTTTTCCCTATTTAGATATGCGGATAGATCCTACTATGTTGATATCATACAGTTACTGGCATTTAAAAAAAATGTTAAAACTTTTTTTAATAGATAATATGATCAAAGCTACATTTTACTATGTCATCATTGTCATTTCTTCGAGTTATATAGCCGGCCAATTGCCACTTCAGTTTTCTTATCTGTTGGATTATGTCAGATATTCTGGTTCTACTGGGGATAACCTCATTTTTAAGTCTAACATCAAGAGAAACTTGCTACCATAAGCTTCCTCATACGGCCAGCAGTGAAGGACCAGTCTCAAAACCATATCTCAACACTGGTAACATGCACTGTATACTCTACTACTTTTCAATTATTGAGGTATAGATAACGGGAAGTGTCTTAGAGGCATGTTATTTTTATTTATTACTAATTATATAGAATATTTTTTGGCTATTAACTATTCCCAGGGAATGCAGAATATTAGCCGATTATTTGCCACAATAACCTTTCGCGGCGTCCTTCGCCTATATCTTTAGCAGAAGAGATATCTACAGTTATAACTAAAATGATATACCTCTATTAAACTCACCTAGCCAGGTTGCCCTTTGGTCCAGCATCAATCATTCTCTCCTTGTCCAGAGTGAGAAAGTAATAATTCTCGTCCCGTATCTCGTGTTTCCTTACCATGCGTCGTTTAAATTCTTCTTCATCAATAAGCTCACCGACATATTCTATCACAAATTGCCCTGTAATAATATTGCATTTGAAAATGACATCACAATATTATGATTTAAAATATGGATCTCGTGTCTTAACATTGCTGTGGTGGTTTAGTATCGGAAAGAACACTAATTCATGTCTTATGGGTTTTAGCGGCTTGTTAAAGAAAAAAAAGAAAGAAAGAATAACGATTTTGGCATCAGTGCATGTCAAGAAGTTGAAGATGATTTCGGCATTACTTTGAAATATATGCAGTTTACTACTATTCTATATTAATATTCTATACTCGCTGGTATTCTATCAGAGCGTGGTCCTTCCCCGGTCAAGCCGATCCTTTTGTGCTACAACTATAATATAGCTGCAGCGTGGCTCTACCACAATTAAAATATGTTTAAAAAAACTATGTGTTTTCACTGCCATGTATATAGTCACTGTCACTACCCATGGATATTTTTCTTGTCTTTAAACTTTTAAACCACTTGTCCAATTTAATATTAAAGCTCTTTACTTAATGAGCGTCAAAAATAGTCTGAAGCAGCTTGTTTCTCTAACAAAGTACATGATAAATATAATAATAAAATCACCTGATTTTATATCCTCGAGAGTTTTCAGCCCCCAGCCTCTGTGTGGAGTTCTATATGGTACTAGCTTGGGGTAGAGACGTTTCTCAAAGGCCCGGTTATTACAGCGGTCCCCTGCCCGGCAGGATGGACCGCATTCTGTTAGAAGCATTCTAGAAGGAAATTGTAAATATAACTTAGTTAAGACATCAAAGGTCAGTCAGACCGAATTTGAGTCACAGCAGCTAGTCTCCACAAAGACTAGGCATTTGCGCAGGATAGGATTATAGTACCAAAGAAAATACAAAAGCACAGGTGCACTCAATTCCTTCACTCTTAGTCTGACGGGTCGGTAATTCGACACGACCAGAGAGGGATCAGGCGCAGGACCAACGGCTTTACGCGCTTTCCAAGGCACAGGGGTGAAACACCGCCAACTTCCGGACTCCCAGTTTGCTGCTGAGAATTTCTTGATGGAAAACCCCAATAACTGATTTTGATTTTACCACTCTCCATCTGTGGTTGCTTATGGGCAAATGTTTTATATTTAGCAGTTATAGTTTGCAAATATCACAGAAACTGTTTATTGTTATTCTAAGTACTAATCTTTATATATAAAAATTACGTGTCACATTGTTTGTCCGCGATGAACTCCTAAACTACTGAACTGATTTCAATGAAATTTTGCACACTGTGTGCAGTTTTTCCAACTTGAGAGATAGGGTGGTTTTTAAACCGATAAGTAACCCTTATTTTTTTATTGCGCAATTACGGAAGTGAAACGGAAAAATATCATATTTCTAGAGATGCTTATTTAGCACACCGTTCCATGAATGTAACGTCATCGAGCGAGGTGCAAAGATAATGTGACCGAGTTGTAACTATGTTTATTTGAAAGTGAATGTAAGCTGTTATGTATACATTTTATAAATAAATAACTATTAGTATGTAAATAAAGTAAAATACCTGTTTAAACACTGTGAATAAAGCCCACAAGGGTCTTCCTCATCAGGATTACATTCACACTGTGTAAGGGAGCTCTCTTCTATATCCACCCGTTTTCCACAAAGAGATCCACATGGCTTGTTCACTTTCAATTTAACATAATGCGGAGGCAGCAGGGAGGAAGCAATGTCTATTGATTCCTCATCATTTAGAGATGCATCTGAAAATATCAACTTTTTTTAATCATATTTATTGCAAAGTTAAGGCACAATTTCATCATTATTACTATCAACTAGTAATAACCGTGTACCATGAATCGTCCCATGGGTGTCGTAAAAGGCGACAGAGAGAAACTGATACATGAAATTAGCAGCAGTATATTCCCGATAACAACTCAATTTTATAAAAAAAATGCAGTTGCCAACGCGAATGCCAAGCGTGGCAACTATGGCAAAATATGAGGTACTCTTTGTGTAGTAGCAAGAATGTGTAAACATAATCTTAAAATAAAAACAATGTTATGAAACTTTCGAAATACTCACTTTTTAATATCTCACACGCCCTCTGTGCGTGTTCCATTGCCATTGAAAACGCCGCATCTATTTTTGACTTCTGACTCGACACTTTGCCGGAATCACCTATAACACAATACACAATTCAATGTAAGCTGTAAGTTTTTCGAAATGTATCAGAACAGTGCAGCATGGTTAGCCAAGTTGACAACCGTTAAAGCCTATCAAAAGTCCATTTCACTTGGCGTAAGAGTATCATCCACTACCCAATAATATCCCGAAGGTATCATAAGAGGCGACAGATGGAATCAAAGTCGGAAGATGGGCAGCAGCATCCAATGAACATGAGAAGCGGTTTAAAGAAAAACGGCATCTCATGAAACACGGACCTTCAACCAACATTACTAAAGTAATACCTTAGCTAAATGGGCTTTTCAGCATATGCACTGTGGACATGTCCTAGAAATATTTTAAAAAGCATGCCGGTTTCCTCACACATGTAAATGTGGCAGCTAAGTTCGAAAACGAAAAGGGCGACGCACCAGCAATGTGTACGTAATTTACAATTACGAATTATTTTTAGTCACTTTCGAACCACCCATAATCCAAAAGCTGTTAGATACATACACTTAACTATTAAATATCAAGAACACCAAACTTTGCCACCAAGCTTTGGATTTGTTGAGTCACATCGTACGAGTGACCATTGGGTCAAAAAATATTGTCACAATAAGTCTCTTTTGGCGAAGCCGCATTGTTCAGAGTGGCGAAACGGCAAATAGCTTTTTTCACACTAAAACAGTCCACACACCAACTACACACACTTTTAGACCATGAAGATTGCAGCACAAAAGCACACAGGAAAACAAACATCTTTTTACCACAGGTGTTACAGATGGAAATATGCAGGGGGTAAATAAGAGAAGAGGAAACGTCAATTCAAAGGCTACACAATTTTTTTTATATAATAAGAGCACACAGTCCACCTAATGGTAAGTGGATGCTGTAAAATTGTCCAGTGCTCGACACTTTACCTATGAAATACATTAAGATGCTGTCTTATGCTGGTATTATGTCAAAGTGTAATCCTTCCTTGGATGAACCAACCGGTTCGTGCTGCAACTATAATATAGCTGCAACGTGTCTCTACCCTGTACATACTCTACTATATTCTTACCCATACGCAAGATACGCACTTTAAATTTGGTGTTGAGAAAACAGCTCATGGAAAAATTTGTAGTGATTGTCATGTAGGGCAGACCAATTATAGATCCACAGTACCAGTTGTCTCAATCACTGACTATCTACATTTGGCAAATTAAAGATAGTGTACCACCATATATTGATCTCTCCCATAGTCATCTCTAAAGACACATATGGGAGGAAACTACTACACAGTAAACGTTTATGAAGAATTTAAATTTAAAATTTTAATAACTAACAATTAGTCAAAATATTACAACAATTATATGTGGCAGAGGCAAGCTGCAGCTATAATAGTTGTAGCACAAATGAGTCAGTTCGACCGGGTTAGGACCTGCAGAAACTGCATAAAATAGCAGTTTAAGGCTGCTGTGTTCGTTAGGCTGAGTGATGAGAACCGGAGAGGCTTTTTACTTTAAACGAGGCATTCCATCTCAGTACTCAGGGGTGACCACATATCTGCATTTTTATTGTTAATCAAGGATAAATGTAGATATCTATGGCCCACACCATCCATTTACCATCAGGTGGATTGTGTGCTCATTTGTCTTCCTGATTCTATAAAAAAATATGTTCACTCACCTTCCTGAAATGGAAAGACGCGACCCCTGTTGACCCAGTAGTGGTCATACTGGCCGAAGAATCGAACCACAAACTCGCCAGGTGAATGTTTAACGGCAAGTATGTTAGCGGGTATTTCTGATGGATGTAGAATTATTCCTGGCCACCATCTGAAACAAAAACGTATATTAGTCAAGGTATCATAAATATAATAATAATAATAATACAACCCAATTGTTATATTTGCATATAACGGTTGGGTCATGCCTGTCCTCATGTATACCTTTGGCATACTCGGGTGGACAAGGACTGAACTTAACGCATTGGATAGAAAAGTCCGCACTACCATGACGTTCCATAGAATTCATCATCCGAGATTGTTTGTAATGAGGCTGTACTTGTCGCGAAAGCATGGTGGGTGTGGCTTTTACCGCAAACCACATAGCGCGAAAGTGGGCAGCCTCCGTAAATACTTACTGGCGAGATCGGATGATCCATTCTATATTGACGTCATTTCATGTGATAAAGGACTTACCTCTCTATCCTTAGTCAACGAGCAATGGCAGAACCCGGCAGTACACAGCATTTCTGACCGCGAGGCCGAGACATGAGTCTTTCGTAGATACGGCCTCGTGGATCGGAAACGGCCTTATTATACGTAAGAACTCGCCGAAAGCCGTGAGCTAAAATGATCGCAACAGGCTCTACTGGGACCAGGCTATCATCACAGACTAATATTCTTGAGAATAAGCCTGCGGGCGGCGTTAAAGTGCTTGATCGGCGAGGAAAAGGAAACTCTTTAAAATGTTTAATGAATTAAAATTTCATTTTTAAAGAAAAATGAAATTTTTATTCACTAAACATTTTATTTATTCCTTAATAAGTACAGCACTCTTTGGTATTAAATTTTAATTAAGCTAGGCGTATTTAAAGGTTTAATAGTTCAATATTTATATTACCTTTAAGTTATTTTTAAGTTAAGAGTTAAAATATCATTTTGTATGGTTTATTAAAATTGAAAATAAATAATTATATAATAAACAGTCATTATTTTATGGAAAAAAATTTGTAATGCTTTGTCTTTTCATTGTACCATATCGTAATCTGCCCTTCTATGCATATAACTTAAACAAAATAATTTCGATGTTTCGCATCTGCCAGGCGTCCCTTTTTGTAATTTTGTACATAGTTTGTTTGTACTTTTTTCCTGCTTTTCTTTTATTCATATATTATATTGTAAGTAAATATCTTTTTCTTTCACTCAAGCAAACCCAAACGGCTCTTTTCAAAGCCATCAAAGGTATGCATTTCAAACACCATATCTATATCACCGTAGGACTATAGCTAATTTCAAATAGAGCTCCTACTGTGAACCCACCCAGAGTACAACAAACTACATCTATGTCTTCTGCTATATGGTTGAGGATACGGAGGGCGCGCGTAAACGGAGCTTCAGTCATCAGCTTAGTGCGGCCGCGCGGCACAGCTAGCATCTGCGGCCGCCGCGGCCGCTACACGTATCTGTCCGGAACACATATGCGCACTTGTTGCATTACGTCGGGATTGTGAATCTTTCCCCTCATCACCCTAAAGATATAAGTAACAAGCGCTAAATTCCTTCTAACATTTAGCTCATTGTATCCTACCATACCTAAGGTGAATAAGGTAGGATACTTATTTGGGTAAAATGGGTGCACATGTCATACTATCTATCTACCGGTAGTATGTCCTCTGTGTGCTTTGTTAAACATGTCCTCGACAGCACTGAATATGGTACTGAAGAATGGAGACAAATCAAGATTGGTGTATTTTTATAAAACTGCTAAAAACTACAAAACCATATCTTGGTCTTGCTCTAGTTTGGGGCCCTAGCTTCGCCACTGCTTGTCCTGCACCATTTCAGATGGTCGATTCGGGTCAGAATGTCAGCAACCTTGGTTTTATTTCCTATTTCCGCGTTCCTAACATAATTCTCTTCATTGCTCATTGGCATTTCGCAAGTTTCTCCTGGTGATTTTGGTTGAGAGACCATGTCTCACAACCTTATGTAATGCAGGGGAGATAACAGATGTTAAATGTTTTGATCGAGATGCTTAGTTCTTATTTCAGCCATTCGCAATTCTTTTGTTTATTTCCTTAGATGTTTGGTCGCTGGGACAATTACCACATACTCTCACACATATTCAAGTCTTTTTCCATCTAATTCTACGAGTATTCTAGAACTTACAACTTTTGTAGAGTTGGTCATTAGTTTTGTTTTGATTGTGTTCATTTTAAGATATTCTTTGCTTCTGTTGGCTAAAGTTTGTACCATTATTTGTAGTTTACTTGGGTCTTCTTCCAGCAAGATAACATCGTCAGCAAACCTCAAGTGATTTAAAAGGTTGCCATTGATGTATATATATGTCTAGTCTTGTGAAAATATTTTCCAGCATAGCAGTAAACAGTTTGAGGAACAATGCGTCTCCTTGTCTGACACCTCTGTTAATGGGAAATAGGTATCTTTTTTATTTAAGTTTTATGGCTCTTTACTCATACTGTAAATGTTTCTGAGTATCTCCACATAGGTATTTTCCACTCCTTGCCATCTTAAAGTTGACCAAATGTAATTATACTCCAGACTGTCAAATGCTTTCAAATATCTATAAAAGTTATGTAAATGGGTTTCTGGTATTCGTTACTTTTTCCAATATTTGTTTGATAGTGTGATTGTGATAACTGTGCTGTAGTTTTTTCTGAAACCTGCCTGCTATACTTTTTGGTTGGTTGGTTGGTTGATTTTCGTCTAGGGTTTTTGTAATTCTTTCTAGCAATATTTTTGTTAACACCTTATAGACATATGAAAACAGACTAAATGGTCTATAATTGTCAATGACTTCCCCCCTTTTTTATGGTGGAGAACTATGTGGGACTCCCAACTGACTTGGAATGACACCCAAATTGAGTAAGTCATTAAATATCCTGATAAGAATTGGAGCCAGTTCCTCTGCCGTACCCCTCATGAGCTCGTTTGGTATGTTCTCTGATCCTGGAGCTCTAACTTTTGAGTATATAGCACTCTGTACCTCTGCTATCAGTATGGGCGGTACAACATCATACCTAATTGTTGGCGACTTATTGGTTTCTAATTCATGATCTTCGTCTGTATTAGAGTTGAGATTTGTAATATGCCGTAGCTAATTTCTGAATTTCTTTACGTTTTGTTACATGCCTGGATTGGTTAATTTTAAATCCAGGAATCCATTACTTTCCATGATCCTTTAACTCCTTATAAGCTTTTTTGTTCTGCCTGTTTTTTTGATTATGTCTTCTAGTTTTTTCATTCTTTTTATTTAATTTTTTACTTTTATTTTTATTTAGTATTAGTGATTTTTTTTCTTCTAACAGCTCTATTGTTTTGTCACTAAATTTGTTGCTGTCCTTTTTCATAATCCTTTTCCTAATTTCTGATAGTTTCTTGTCTTGGTAATCATATTTAACTTGAACACTCCAATTAGAGAAATATCATGCAGTGGCATGATGTGATATGGTTCAATATTTTTCGCGTACTGTGCTGGTGGCAATGTTGTATTGTTTGTTACAGCTTTCCTTGACTTTTCTGTTGGGTAGCTCTTTACGCGCCCGCGCACCATTCGGTGGTTAGTGTTGAAATTCAAATTCTGTATAACTTGTGTATCATTGAAGTGAGTTTACTCTTTTGTTATAGTTTGTTAAAATAAAATCTCTTTTAAAATTTCATTTTTTTTATTTGCTATTGGGAGACATCCAAATCCATTTATTTTTATATTTTTTCTTAGACTAAATTGAGCAGTGTCAGATTATTTTGTACGAAGAATTCGCCTATCGTCGTTATTAGTCTATGTTCATTGGTACTTTTGCCATGGCAGAACTTCCCTAGTACAAATTCCTTTCTTGCTTCTCTGGAGCTAACTTGGGCGTTGAAATCCCCGATAATTATGAGGTTATTGTTGTAATATTTCTTTGTAATGTCGAATAGGTTGTTATAGAAGTCTTCAATGTTCTCCTTGGCGGCTTGTTAGGTAGGCGCATATTCCTGAATGATTGTCCATACTTTCTTGTAGCCCGGTATTTTCATGTTTAGTATCGCTATTCTGAATTAAATTCCTATTAACTCCAGTATATTTTGTTTTAGAGATTGTTTTATTAAGAAATCGTACACCTCTGTGTCCTGCTATTTCTGCTTTGTGGTATACAGTTTTCATACTCTTTTTATTTTCTCATCCAGTCTTCTCATGTCACTTATTTCTAAGATATTGTAGTTTACTTTCTCTAGTGCCTTTTCTAGTTCTAGCAGACTTTCCTGTGTTCTCATGGTTCTTATATTTATTGTTGCAATATTGATTGTTACGCGTGATTTTGTTGAAGGGATTTGGTCTAGTTCTCCTGCGAGGACCAACCGTGTTGGGAGACATTTTGTTTGCTGTGGTTCAGGTTATTCTGTACTAATTTATCTAGTTCTTGGCAATTTTCATTTGTGTAGCTTTGGTTTGTATAAAGTTGCTGTATTTGTTTTGATTTGGTTTGGTGTAATGATGGTAGTTACAAGTTTTTTGTATCCTCAGCTGGTGAAACTGGTGGAGCTGGTCTTCCTCGTTCAACATATTTGAGTGTGCTGGGTTCAAAATTTCTTTTGTTGCTGTTTTGGTAGGTGGCTGTAAGTAATATCATCTTGTGACTTGACTTTCTTCTGCGCTGACAAATTGGGTAGGTTTGGGTCTTCCCTTTTTCTATTGTCACGGTCCTTATCTTTAGGTTTTTTATTATATATTAGTTTATCCTATTTCAGATAGGTCATGTTTCCTTTTTTCTTTCCTCTGCTACTTGTGGTTGTAACTGCTTTCATTTTTCTAAGACTTCTTTTAGATAATCCTCTTTGACGATAATGCCTGGTGGTAGACTAGTTTTATTTTTCAAGATCAAATGTTTGTTTCATATAGATGCAATGGAAACTACAATGGGGCAGTTTTGGTTGTCGTAGCATTGTCCAATTCTCTACACGTTGGCAATTTTATGACTGCCTAGGTGTGTTCCCGATTCTATTAGAGCTTCCTTAATGTGGTCTACCAGCATAGCTTCTGTTTTACCTATCTCCTCTACTCCAAAGAATACCAAGTTGTGTCCTCGCTTCTCTTTTTCTATGGCACTTAATTTTTTGTTGAGACTCTATTTTTAAGTAGAGTATTTTCTTCCATGATTGTTTTCAATTTCTTGACCAATGCTTCCATTACATTTCTTGTCACAGATGTTGTTATGAGCATAGTTTGTTGTTCGAGCTTCTCTTCTAGTTTTGATAATAATAGTTCCATACTTTTTCCATTTTGGTGGCAATTTTAATATTGTAGTGGCAACACTGAATTGGATTTAAGATTTTATTTGCTTGTAACACTAAAACTACACTATTAATATCAGTTGGCGACGGGTTATGTAAGCAATAGTGATAACACTCTATAAAGTCTATGATTATAACTGTTATTCACAACTTTAGGTTATGTTGTTTAGTGTTAATGCTGATTTCGCAAGACGAACACTATTTGCATTGTCATTACTCCACTGAATTTAATGTCATTGCTTTATTTTGATGGCGTAGCGTCAAGATTACGTGATTATCAACTTTTTGCACTATTTTTACGAAAATTTTCGAGGAGGCATTTAACGTATGTGTTTACGATACCATAGCCGGAAGCAATTACCATAAGTACATTAGCTAATAGTAATTGAGCCTTGATAAGAACAGCTCATTCAAATTAAATATGAGCAACCCACGACACTGTGAACTATGTGATAAAATTTGTAATGAGGATATCCACATTAAAAACAAGGCAATGTGTCAGCCATATAGCTCAGAGACTTCGCATATCCCCAAAATAATTTATTTCTTAAACACGTAGGTTTTACCACGATGTTTTTCTTCACCGTCCAACTTGTGGTAATTTAGCACTTAACTATGTGTATGGTTTCCAGCTGGGGTTCCGACCCCAATGAGGGAAGAGGGCATGTCACCGCACGATCAGCTGACCGCCACCTCAACGCCACTTCAGATTGGGCTACTGACGACTATGTGTGCTAAAACTCTATAGTCCTCTTTCATTCATATTTTGTACAATTTGTCTAATAATTATTTTACATTTCGCTTCAGTCTTTTATTTATAAAGATCACCCACATTATATCTCTTTTTGACTTGTACAACATGTCATTGTAGGTACATATTCACTCATTACTTAAATATTATCCTATAATATGAAACTCACCTATAATGACCAAGTTTCACCCACACCATTTCTCCGTAAAGCGGTAGACGACCAGTTTCACAGTCTTCACACATATAGCCACCTGAAAATTGAATTTAAAATCTAATTGAAATAGGAGAAAATTATCTAAATTGAAAAAGTTTATTCTTGGGACTCATATCAAGTCTCACTAATGAGGTGGCTTAAGATATTTAAAATTAGGTCTCACAGTCTTTGATTCACATTCATGAATCTCATCATACTACAGGAACCTTCGTCACAAAATAAATAATAGTAATATGTACAGAAGTTGCAGTCCTTTAATGCTGACTGCTTGCCGAAGTTTAATAGCCTACATAATTATTATTAATTAGATAAATCGCGCTCGCAAGCTAAATAAAACTTGTATCGTTGCGCGAGTGTCTGTATTACTTTACATCTTTTCCCCTTCCTACGTTACGGCGGACTTTCCGTTGTTACTAAGGGATGTCAATAAAGAGTAACAAAATATATTGCGAAATGTTAATTAAGTTACTTAGGTGAAATACCTATTCTGACTATGATCGACTGACCATATTTTCACACCTGTGTGAGTTCTGCGATACCTAACGCATGCAACTTGCAAGGTCATTCGTCAGGAATCGCGATGCTTGGCTTGGAAGAAAAAGGTAGATAGCATTAACTACAAATAAATTTGAAATACGATTCCTAACAGAAATATAATCGTATTCTACTTAGTTTAAATTTTTTGTTAGTAAACAAAGTTTTAATTTCAGTGCTTTGTGTTATTATAACTTAAAATATTTTAAATACAAAAGACAACTATAGTTATGTAAGTAGATACTTGGATAGTGAAGTATATTTCAACTAAATTTTGTAATAAAGTTTGTAGGTATTAGATAAATTATTACTTAATTTATTTTTGCTGTAAGTACCTATCTAACTATAAAAATTAAATAAATTTACGTTATATAATTTCCTACTAAAATCCTTCGGTACAACAATGATATACAACATTTTGTTGGACATTTAGCGTCTATCCACGCAACAATTATAGTAGGAACAAAGAGATTTAAACCAAAACAACCTTTAATAAAAAAAAAAAAAAAAAAAAAAAAAAATAAAATTTTTTTTATTTTAATATAAAAAAAAAAAAAAAATATATATATATACTACTTCCTATTTAAATGTCTTTGAGTAGGAATGGCGTATTGCCATTAAAATTTATAAAATAGATAGCTAATAATACACATAATATATAAAGTAAAAAAAGTTACAGCCTATATACGTCCCACTGCTGGCCACGGCCCTCCTCTCATTTCTGAGAGGGTTTTAGGGCAAGGAAGTGTTCACCGCGCTGCCCCAATGCTTGTTGGCGAACTTCACATTCGAATTTTTTTTTTCTTATTTCTCAGACATGCAGGTTTCCTCACGATGTTTTCCTTCACCGCCAAGCACGTGGTAAATCAGCACTCAAAATTGCATTTAACAATTTCATTGGTGCCGGCGGGGATCGAACCCGGTTTGCTTGCGTATTGTAAAATTTACAGCGAGCGCTAACCATCTGAGCTACCACGGCTCATACACATAATATATATAAATATTAAATTACATCAAAACTTTTTAACTATTTTATCCTACAATTAAACATATTAAACACTAAACAAAAACTATTTCAACAAGTATTTACAAAAAATTATATACGTAAACAGCGTTAAAAAAAATTTTTTACATTCAATCGCCTACAACCCGCTAGCCCCGACTGCGTATTTCACCCTGGATGCATCGCGATTGTATGTAATTATTTCAAGCAGGTAGAAAGAGTGACAGATGTCTGTCTTCGTCTGCTTACAGTTTGATAAAACGAAAAACCATAGTTATTCAATAATATTCATGAGCACGCTTGATGTCATTAAATTAAATAATAGGTTATATATGGTAGTAGTTGTTTATTATGTATGGCTCTATACCAAAACGCTGCAGCTATTTTACCCCGGCTGTACTCTCTCGACGAGGGTCCACGAGAGAAGGCGAGGACGAGAGTGTACATGATACTTTCGCTGAGCCTTGCTTTCCCTCGCCTCGCCTCGCGTGCTCTCGCTCTCGTGTTGGTTTTTGGTGCGCGAGTCAAAGGGCCTCGCCTTCCCTCGCAAGTGGACACGAGTGCGTCACTGTACACTCGCGCTTCGTTCAGTCTACCGCAAGACGTTGTCGCGTGCAGTATATTTTATTATCCTACTACCACAAACTTATCATGTGGAACCAAGAGCGCAAATTCAATTTTCTTGAATTTATCAAATTGAACCTATTTTGTGGGAGCCATGACCGATGAGCCGAAACCATGCGTCCATCTCCTCGCCATCCCTCACCGTAACTGAATAAACGAAAATGTACAAGGTCACACTCGTGAAAGCGCTTTCTCGTGCGAGAGACTCGCGAGAGGCATGGCGAGTGCTCTCGTCGAGTGTACAGCCGCCATTACAGTTGTAGCACAAATTTGTCAGCTCAACCAGGGAAGGACCATACTCAAAGAATATCATCTTAAAACAACAGCTTAAAACTGTCGTTTTTAAATATTTTTCAATGTAAACGAGGCATTCCATTTGTCCTCAGGTGTGTCAACGCACCTGCATACTGATTCTTAATCAAAGATAGACATTATATTTCACAGATACATAAAATTATGTTTCGAGTACATTGCAGCACCCATGATCACAGAGGGAGTACTCGAAACATCAGAAATAAGAAAATTAAATGTGATACTATATATGAAAATTAGTTTAATTGAATAAAGTATATGTAATAATCTTAATGATGTTAAAATAACATGCTCGATATTTCACACTAACCTTCCGGAGGTTTAATATTAAGGCACTCAGCATGGAATGAAGTGGGGCAGTATTCACAACAAATCAGGGATCCGCCAAGGGCACAAATGAAACACCAGCCAGTGTTTACGTGACAGGGTACTTTGCCTGGTCTGTAAAAAGAAAAAATAATTTAAAGGTTACATTTCTTTGCATTGTAAGTACTCGTATTTTGTTGAAACAAAATAAATAAAAAATTAAAATAAAGATAAATAAGTTAAATTAAAGTTAATATCAATGTAGTGGCGGCGTAAGATAATTCACTACCCCTTATTATCAAACCGCATCTTCCTGATAATAACTCAAATTAAAAATTTGACTGCTCCGTGGTGCAGTAGCTTAGCAATGAGTAACTGCGCTGGGAGCCGCGGGTGCGAATCCCGCACGGAACAAGTGTTTGTATGGCCTACAAATAATTGTTCCGGGTCTGGATGTTTGTCCTTGTACAATTTATGTTTGTAAACCGCCTCCACGATACAGGAGAAAATCCTAGTGTAAGGGGGTAACGTCAAAAAAAAACGGGGTTGCTAACCTACTTACCTTACTTTTATCGAATAGTATAGTATAGTATATGACACCACTAACAAAAGGGGAATTTTGATACAGGTAAATTCATGTCTTTATCTTGAATTTGCTTGTTCAAAAACACGATTATATAATTTGACTCGAACATAATTATTTGCGAAAACACCTCTAAAAATCACTATAGTTGAAATTACAACGAAATTCCTTATAGAAATAGAAATAGAAACTTTTTTATTCAATGTAGATTATAAAAATACTTATTGCAAGTCACTTTTTTAATTTACCACTGGTTCGCAAAAAAACCTCTGTCCTGGGAAGATCCAGCAAGAAACCCAGCGGGACTATTTTTTTTAATAATAGCTTACAATCATGTTTACAATCAACAACACAAGACAAATTAGAAATAGCTTGGTAGCGATCACCCTTAAATACCCTTAATTAATATGCTCGGGAATCACTCAAATATATTCATAACATCAATATTCATAATTTATGGGCTCATTATTTTGATTACTTAAAGAATAATTTTCAAAAAATATTTTAAGATTCTGACAATTTCTAAGCGGTCTTAATCGTCGCGGGCGCTACACAATTTTGGACCTCATGATGGCGTTTTTTAAGTTTTTATAGAAATTATGTATTCACCCAGATCAGTACGGCGATAGCCCGGAGCCACTTTTTTGATGTGTCGTAAGTTTTTTTTTTTATGTAGCATTCAACAGTAGACTTTTGATAGGTTGTAAGGAATGTATATATTCTGGTTTCCTGTCATCATCTGTAACTGTCCAGACTCCATTGTAGAAAGCATTTGCCAGTACGTGATAGTGGACCCTTTTACGCCACCTCTACACACCACATCTACACAGCAAGTATCATATTTATATCAACTTTATTTCTAACTTACCTATTATGCTCATAATGTCTTGGACAGATTATGTGTGATCCAGTCAAAATCTGAGTGCCAGCTGGAAGGCACTTGGTGAATGAGTGATAAGTGGCTGGACATCGAACACAACGGGCAAGTTTATCACCACTAAACCTAGTTTTACAACCTCTGGGGTCATCAGAAACGCAAGTATGGCACACATGTCTTGGACATGACATAGGTTCAAAATATCCTTTTATCTTCTTACTATTGCTGGAAGATTCCCCAGAATGGAATTGAGTTTGAGGCCAGTGATCTAAGCATTCCAAATGATAGTACCTGTTACAGTGGGCTACCTGACATCTCTGTCTATACTCAATACCCTCTTTTGGTGATGTAGCAGATTTACAAACAAAGCACACTGGTATGCTGTATTCTTGACAGTTATTGCATTTAAAATCAGTATTATCTGTTGCATCAGAGCTCCTACTCTTTAATGGTGGGTCTATATCAATTATTTTACATTTACCAACTTCAGTGTCGCTCCAATCAAGTTCATTTTCACTTGAATCCACCAAATATTGGTTTTCTAATGTGTCAAACATTTCCTTCATTTTGGCACATAATTTAGCTTCCAAGTTTTCTGCGTCTACAACTATATGAGATTCAGATTCAATATCTTCCATTGATACATTAAGATTTTCTTCGGAAGCATTCAAGTCCTGAGATTTGTCATCGCTTTGACTACCCTGATCTAAACTGTTGGAGTCTTCTGATGTCTTCTGCTTCCGACCTCTGTTTCTCTTTTTCCTTTTTCTCCCTTTGGTTGGTAATTGTGCTTCTATAATTATTTCCGTTTCTTTTTTATTACACTCTATATGGAACATGGCGTTACATCCTTTACATTTAACAAGGTTCCCTACTTTCTCACACACTTCGCATACCTTTTCTCTTAATAAGCCTTTAAATAAATTTGGCTTTGGTTTAGTGAGCTGTTGAAAATATTCCTCCACTTGGTCAAATTCATCACCATTGAATGGTTCTGCATTATCAAGAGTCTCAGTGTTTACAGATTCATTTTCGACGCAAGATGTATTTGATTTAAGCGGAGCATTGGATTTGTTTTCAAATATTTCAAACAGTTCTAATTCATTTTCTATATCCGAATGCTCTTCGCTGTAATGCGGTTTTACGGTCTTTCGTTTTGGTTTTGATTTAGGAATAAACTCCTCGGAATCGTTCAATTCCTTTTCAACCTTCGCCTTTTTCTTCAACTTTTTCGGTTGTATTGGCTCCTGATTCAAGCCTTTTACTAAGGTCGCCTGTTCAATATCATCAGTCTTTTTCCTGTCAGATTTCACGCTTTCTTCATACAGCCAGGTTTTGTACAAGTAATTTGTTATTTCTTCATGAGATAGTTGAGGATTTTCATCAATTAAAGCGTCTTGACGTAGCTCCAAGTATTTTAAAAACTCAGGATCTTCTAGTTCTCTTTTTAAAGATTTGTCTGACATTTTATCAACATATCTATCGAGTTTAGTACGAAGTTTTCGTTTACCTTCATTACGTTCTGAATTTATAGATAGAGAATCAAAACAGTTATCGATATTTTTCTGATCGGAATTATCTTTTGTGTTGACATCATTGACAGAATCGAATTCGATCTCAGGATCATTGGAGTTTAATAATTTTTCAGTATTACATGAATCTACAGATTGAATTTCTCCATCTGAATTTCTATGATAATGTTTGCTTGTAAGCGTCTTTTCTTCATAATTATTTTCCAAGCTACAACTTTCATCAACAGGAGCATTGTGCATACAAGAGAGCTCCTTTCCTTCTTTAGGTTTGTGATCTCTATCCTCAGTAGTTTTTTCACTCCCCGCTGTATCATTCGGTAAATTTTTTATTTGAGAAATTTCTCCCAAATTATCTGGCAGGCATTTAGTCTGAGGAATTTTTTCTGCATTATTATTTATTTTTATTTCATCAACCCCAAAACCATTTTCATAATTGTTATTTAATGTCTTGTTTGTATATTCTGTATGCATATAGTCCCTGTTGACTGCATCTGACTTCTCAATATTATTAATGATACATTTCTCCTTAATATTTTTAGGTGGATCATTTTCTTTAATAGGTACTATACCTACTGGTGCGATATATTTGTTACTTACAGAAGTTTCATTATAATTAGAGTTACTAACAAAGCTGATACTATTTTCATGATGTGTAGATGTAGGTGCTTCCACAACAGCAGTTTCTTTACTACTATATATTAAAACACAATTTTCATTTTCTTGATTAAAATCTTTAACCAATTCTTTATTGGATATTAAATTATGATCTTCAGTTTCTATATTCCTTTCTAGTTCATTTGTATTATAAACAATTTGATTAGATTTCCTTATGTCTCCTTTGGTTATGTCTAACAATACATTTTCTAATTTCTGGTTCGATTCGATTTTATTAACTATATCATCTAGAAAATTACATGATTTACTATCAGATTTTAATACTTGAACTTTTTCTATACAATTTTCACCAGACTCTCTTAGTATGTCTGCGCATTGTTCTTCTTCTGATTCACTAATGAGTAAACTATCTTTTATAAAATTATGAACTTCACTGTCTTCAGTTAATTGAATATCGTCGTTTTCGTCTTCTACACTTTTACTCTTGCTTTCGCTAATTACTTCTGGTGAACGATCTGTTTCAATAATTGGTGCTGTTGTATTTTGTATTTTACTTTCATCACTAATTTCCTTCAAACTATATATATTTTCTCTGTCTTTAACCTTTTCATGTTCTTCATTAACTACCATTATATCAATTGACCTTTCATCAATGTTTTTAGTGCAATCCGTTTCCAACAATGGTAAAGCGGTATTATTCATAACTATTTCATTATTTTTGTCTATAGGTATATCATTTACAACTTTACTTAAATTGTCTGAATTATTAATAGTTAATGGCTTTTCACTTTCTACAGGTAAGTAATTACTTTCGTTTACATTTGAATCATACATGTCTATTTGCATTGGTTCAGTGTCATTTAATGTAGTATTTGTTTTATTTGAAAAAGTTTCTATAAATTCATCTTCATGAATATTCTCCGTGGCAACAAATTCTTCATTTACAACGGTCATTGATACATCATTTTGTTTATTAGACTTTTCATCTTCACCTATGTTACTGCAGAGACTTTCAACCCTTTCTACAACACATATACCTGAACTTATTTGTTCTAAATTTACACTTTGATCAAAATCATTAGCATTGACATGATTGATTTCATCTACAACAATAGAGCTTTCACTTAACTCTTGAACATTTTGCTTGCTATAGTCATGTTCATTCTGATGTGAAAGTTTCCTCTCAATTTCGTCTTGAGATTCTTTTCCACTTCTTTTTAGGCTTAGTGACTTTTTTAATTGAGAGTCTTTTGATGTTGATCTTCTCTGTTTGACATTAATGGATTTTGATTCTTTGTCAGTCTTTTGTACAGATTGTACTTTAAAAAACGATTTCTCAGGTGTCTTAGACTTCGCTTTTTGTAGCCACCGATCCATATGAGATTGTCTTTGAATTTTAGTTATACCAGTTTTGGCAGCCATGTTGTCAAGACATGCGGTCACAACTTCTGACACATCTAAAGACTTATTCCTGGTTTTACTTTTAGACCGTTCAGTGTCATTATTTTTACTATCATCTTCAGAAAACAAAGTGTCATACAAACTCTCACTTAAAGAGACATCACTGTTAGTTCTAGATACTTTTTTGCTTTTTTCTATTTTTGGTGTTGTTTTAAATGCTCTAGATTTTTCAAGCATATCATGTAAAATATCAATACGAAATCTCTTTGGTTCACGCAGTAACGCTTCAGCTTCTTCCACTGATATGGTCCATTGCGGTAGCTTCTTCTCTGATATAAAGAAAGCTGCATATAGTCTTGGATCACGTTTCTTTACCTGTTAAAAAGGTAAAAAAAAATCATTTAATTATTACATCGTTTAAATAAAAATTGTCCATATAGTTAGAGAATATTAAAAGGATATAATGCATTTTTCTAAATAAAATGCAAATATTACTGCAATTTACAATAGTAAAATCGTTTTTAATATGTGTAACAAAAACATAATTGAAACTAGTAATACTAAACCATCTTATACTTAAATGTTAAAATTATTTATAGCAATCATATTATATTCATAATCCTGCTCAGTATTATTAAAATATATTCATATAGCACATTCTGCATTCCTTACGAAATCCTGCTTTATGCAATATTTTTGTCTCGGTTATGAAACTATGACTGATAACTTATAGCATATTGGAGTCACAAAATTAGTATTAAATGCCATTTTTGTGTGACATATTAAGTTAAACCACCTTATTTATTTACACCTTACTTACTTACTTTTACGACAAAAATGATAAATCCAAAATATTAATAGAACATTCCCCATTAAATTAAGATACATCAAACTGATAAATTAATAAAGAAAGTAAACCTCAGAAGTGAACTTTTCTCTTGTAGTCTCAAATTCGAGCTGTCCCAAAAACTTTCTAAGCATGTTGTCCACTATCCATCCACGACGGCCGTTGTCACCAAAGAATGTGACATGTAGTACATCATGTTCTATGCGACCAAACACTGTAAGGAGAAACAGACAAATTATGTGTTATAAATAACTGTTACAATATTGTTCGTACTAAATTGTGAATTCTAGGGTGTAATCGCAGCTAAACCTGAAAACAAATTATTAATTTTGGGGTGCGGTTAATAGCTTCCAACAGCACATGAACCTTTTTTGCCACCTTCTGTGACAAAATAATGATATGGGGTAATGGATATTCTTACACTGCCACTACACAGTAGTATAGTGCCTGACAATAAGATAAAATGTATAAAAGATATGTAGTGTCAGACATGGGAGCTCATAACATATTCAGATCCAGTATAGTACTGGTTTAAATAATTATTTCTTTAAACAGAGGGTTTTGAAATGTATTGCTTATCTTGCAGTGTAGGCGTAGCCCACTAAACATACATACATATACATACATAAATACTCACGCCTGTCACCCAGAGGGATAGGCCGAACTACAGACTTCCATTTTGCATGATCCTGACACACCTCTCTCACCTCCTCCACATCCATATACCTACTCATACTTGCTCATCGGTTAAGGGTAGTTTTATTGACCTATTTTCAATATATCGCCAATTTGGTCGACAAATTTCCGCCTAGGACGTCCCTATCCGATTCTGCTGTATAAATTTGCTTTGTCACACTTTCCTCATTTTTTCTTTCCACATGACCAAATCACCAAAGCATTCCTTTCTTAATCCTGGTCACAACATCATCTTGTAAATCACAAAATTTCTCACCCTGTCACTCAGATTCAGCCCTAACATACTCCTTAATGACCGCATTTCTACTGCGTTTATTCTACTCTGGTGCTTCTTCTGCCACACCCAACTTTCACTACCATACACTAAAGTAGGGACTAACACAGCATTGTGAATTGCCATACGTGCCTTTCTTGACACATTCTGGCTTTCTTTAAATCAATTTCCCAAACAACTGTCGATAAATAGGTTGAACAGCCACAGGGACGCCACACAGCTCTGTCTGACACTTTTATGGATGCTAAGCCAGTATTTGTGGACACCGTTGATCCTAACACAAGCACTAGAGTCCCTCTAATACCTGTACCAACCCAGCACTCAACACAAATGAGTTAAGTGTTTGCCATAACTCATCCCTGTCCACTCTGTCATAAGCCTTTTCCAAGTACGCACAAAAAACTTATTAGTATTTGGCCAAAAACATCTCCACGATCATGCACATAGAAGATTTGATCTGTACACCCCATTCCCTTTCTAAATCCTGCTTGCACATCCCAAATTTTTCCTTTAGTTTCTTTCGTGACTCTTTCAATTAGTGCCTTAGTATTACAGTTTTCTCACAATGCTAAGACAACTGATACCACTATAGTTTACAGTCTTGCTGCGACCCTTTTTCTTTTATATTGGGAATATTACGGCTTTGCACCAGGCTACCAGTACCCACTTCAGTTCCCAGCATAAATTAAACAAGGTGTACACACCCTGTAATCATGAAACCTGCCACCACTTTATCTCCAGCCCTTAGCATTTCGAGTTAAATTCTATCATTTCCGACTGTCTTACCTGCTTTCATGTTCTTCATTGCTTTCATTATTTCATCTATACTTATCTCCCTATCTCTTTCCTCTTCTTTCAGAATTACTATTTCATTTAGTTCATACGTCGTCTCCTCACTCATGAACACACTTTCAAAATATTCCTTCCATCTCTTTAAACTCAAAACTTCATCATTCAGAAAACATATTTTCATTTTCCTTACATTTCATTAACACCATCCTTACCATCTCCCAAAACTGCTCTCGGATATAAGTGAACTTAGACATGTCTGGGTTATAGACCACAAACAACTTCTTTAAGCCCACTTTCATTAATATCCATAAGAGTCTCGGGCTTACACATTCATACTCTTTCACACATTGGCCCATTCTTTCTGAAAGGATGATACCTACTCGGGCAAGCGGGCATACCAGGCTGCTCGGTCTCGTTTACACCAGACCAGTATGCGTTAAACATGCCATAATGTCCTTTCCTTTCCATTTCGTCTCATTTATACATATCAAATCTATTCCTCTATCATACATCACGTCTCATACTTCATCCATCTTATCATTCATTGCTCCACATACATTCAGCGTAGGCAGATGGGCTACTGCAATCCACTTTTAGCCCCTTCGAAAGACAGAACATGACGGGTGGCGTCGCCAGTTTACCTCCTGGAGATTCTTCGCACCCTTGCGCCATTAAAGGGGTACCGGGAACTCGGGGCCATCTCTTTTCTTTGGTGTCTCATGGTGCGAAACGATGGGGTGGTATACTTTACGCTGCTACCACACGGCGAGGAGCCGAGTCTGTACTTTCTCGGCTTTTTTTTAATAAACTATAGTCAACCAAATCTAAGAAATACCTTTTGTCATTTCACATTAACCATTCCGCAATAACTTTGTGCAAGCGTACTCACAGGATTTTATCTATATTTCATTACAACATGTATAATTTTTTATCACTAATTTAAATTTGAATTGGGTAATAGTGTTTGGGTAATTAAAATTCATTGTTATGCGAATAATCGGCAAAAATATTTAAATAATTGCTAAAAATATTCAAATAATCTATTCATTAATTTTTTAATGTATTATTTAATTTAATTTTTATTTTTAAAATTCCTTAAACTAAATGAATCATGAATAAAACAAGTTAATTATTTTACTTTGTCAACATAAATTTGTGTAGGTAAAAAACACATATACAAGATCGCACTGAAAAAACCACTACATACGGAATGTCGATCTCCCGCCATTTTTAAGCTTACCGTGCGTAATTTTGTGTATATCTTCTTATTTTGTTACTCGGCTTTAACTTTTTAATTATTCTATATTTGTTGAAGCATGTGCCCATGTCACAAAGGATGACTGGGCAAAAGCGGTAGAAAAAACAAAAAAATTGATTATGGAAGGCTTTGAAAGAGACATTAATTTTAACTGCGTTATTGAAAATCTACAACGACAGCACAACTAGTTGTACTGAAAGTGATTAAATAAATTTATTTTTAATCTAGTTTCAATCTTAGATTTTTACAACTATGCCTCTGTAAATAAGCAGTAACAACAAATACGAAGGAACTGATAAATCTTGTGTTTTAAATTGTCCGTTTTTAATATATTATTCAAACCAAACTGTAAATGATTATCAACACTAAAAAATCGATTTTTTTTAATAATCGAATATTATACGTTCTCATTTTTTGGTTGGCATGCTTGGTGCAATAAGTCTGACAGCTGTTAAAATGTATTTCTTAGATTTGGTTGACTATAAAATATTTTTCTGAAGAAATTTCATTTTAGAATGAGATTTCACAATATATATTCACTTGTAATTTTCTTGGGGTTCTCAAAGAGTTTTCAATGATAAGCCTATTATAACAGCTTTAGACCAATAAAGAAAGATAGAAAGAACACTATATACATATCTAAATAACTCCTTGACAAATACTGACTCACACATCTCTCTTATTGGTCCATGAAAGTATATTGCTGAACACATATATATGTACTTAAAACTATATAGTTAGTAGCATATTATTTTATATGCTTATATGCATGAATAAGCATTCTTACAATAAAAATTGAGCATGGTTTTGGAATCATTTGAAATGTACATAGTATTCTATTTTTCTTTATTGGTCTACACACAGCACCGACAACCATATAGCCACATAATCCACTACGCCAAGAGTATCTTCCTACTACGCCAATTATGTATAGTTCACATTGTTGAATCACATGTCTATTTAGATTATGTCTGTCCCATGTCTCTGACATATTATCCTAGTCTAACCCTGACATTATTGCATTCATTTACAACCCTAAGCATGATTATTCTATTCTATTGAATTCATATCGCCATTGAGTGACTTCGTATTAAAATATATATTTGTATTTACATCCGTCAGGGGTGCTGTTCACATTCCATACAATTTTAGTCAATGATAATACAAGAAACTCATGCTAAAGGCACTGATCTCATTTTTACTGCAAGTAACAATTGGTATACATAAATTGGAACAAGTCACTGTCACTATGCTTAACTAATTCTATAATTTAATCCAGATTATTTAGAACATTGGCATGGAGGACATTTACCTAAAAATATTGTATATTCTATTGGTCTTACTCCTAGACACAGGTCTCCTCTCATTTCTGAGAGGGTTATGGAGCAACCAGTCCATTGCATTACTTAGTACATACAAATTTTAGAATTTTTTTTTAGTCCTGACATGCATGACCCTTCAGAATATTTTTCTTCACTGTCAAGCATCTGGTAAATCAGTACTTAAAATAACAATTAACAATTTTATTGGACCCAGCAAGGCACCTGTGTACTGTGAAAGTTACTTAGCCCATGAATTTAATCAACTCAAGATTCATTTACCTTTTAATAATTTAAAATGTAAAGATACTTACACTTCTTTTTTACAAATGTTCCACTGATAGGATCTCTTGATATTATACATGGCCAAAATGGGTATGTCCCCATCCTAGCCCAAGCTAAATCTCCTACTTGATATTCACATCTGGCTTCCATCTCAAATATTTCGCTTTTAGACAGAGATGTTTTACCCTCCTTATTTTCCCTCTTTTTCCTTTTATTACCATCAAAGTCCAAAGTTTTTACCACAGATGATGTATTCAGATACCCATTTTGTTGCTTTATACTACCTACACTATATTTCTCTGAAGGCCTTTCTAAAATATTTCCTATATGGATATCACTTGATGTTCTTTTAACAGGAGAAAAGATGTTTTTTATCAATACAACTGTTTCTTCTTTTTCTTTATTTTTAGTTTGAATTAGATCTTTTCTTATATACACTTTAGGAAACTTCTTTACTGGAGAAATATCCTGTTTCTCCTCAGAACTGAAGCGACTTAATGATATATTTTCATTATATATATTCTCGATCTGAGTGTCCAATTTATTTTCAACAGTGGGTGTTCGCATTGGTGTTTCACCTCTTATTGGGGAGTTTGAGGCATGCATTTTGTAAGCCGGTGATTGTGCTTTAGCAGGGGATTTTTCAAATTTAGGTGATTTTAGCATTTTTGTAACTGATCGCTCAGAATCACTAGAGTCTATGTCAGTTTTGAGACGACGTGACCTACCATAGCGGCTGGTACTACTGCTTTCTCCATTTGTTATAGGAGATGTCACTCTAGCTGTCAAGTTTGTTTCTAATTCCCTTTCAACAATAGATCTCTTTTTAGGTTTACCTTTTACAAGAGTCGGACTATCAAGATATTTTAACTCTTCTGCACTCATATTATCTTCTGATTCGTCCATCTTGGCTCGGCATTTATCATTCAGGAACGGAATTGGAGCGCTGACGTAATATCGATAAATACTGTATCGCCTTCTATATTTTCGATAAATTTTGCTAAAGTAAAATAATGTCAACAAAATAGTGGTAAAAATAACACCTAAGTGGGCTTAATTGATTGCCATTTCCAAAAAACTTGTGTGAGTAGTAGCTGAAACAAAAGAAATGAAATGGAGTTGTCTCAGTGTCAACTAGGTTATTGAATAATTTGAGTGAAAATTGATCGATTCAGACATTAAATATTACTTTCATGAATATAAAATTAGCATATGCAATTTACTGTGACGGTCAGCTAATTCACTGTGCGCGAAACATAATGGTCGCCCACAAACGAATTTTCAGTCCATTACTATTACTAAAGACTGCAATTTTCGGAAACTTAATTTTCATTTTAACAAATCAATTTAACCTTATACTAATAAACAAGCGACAGTTTCAAGAAGATTATTACACACGGGACTCAAAATAATTGTTAAAAACCCCAATCATTGTCTACCTTTCGAACAATGTCCTATTTTGTTACGAATTGGGACCCTGTGCAAGTGTCATCCACGCGCCATCATAACATTATTTAATCTAGAATAACGAAAAACTTGCATATACAATACTGTTTCAAATTTAATAGATTCTTTGAATAATTACCTCAATATAAATATATAAATGAGTATATAATCTCTTTCGATTTTAGATTTTTTAGTACAAAATAAGTTCACTGACGCTTGATGCCGCGAAAAATTATCACAGAATACAGTATATATGTGTGCAACTGCAATAGCAACAGACTGTGTGGTAGTGTGCTAGTGTGAGTTACAGTAGTATACAAATACAACGGCCGCAAGTAACACCTACGCCAGTACCGTACACAGAGAAACCTCTCTGTCTATGGCCAGTACACATCATGTGTTTCATGTGTGCGTGTGTATTAAATATAGGGCTATCAAATGTCAAAAAACCGTAAATTTTAGATGGACCAATAATAATGAATGATTTTAAATTATATAGTTAATATTTTTTTCCTAAATTAGTTAATTTTTTCCCTAGTATGGCAACTTCCTATGGATTGTGCCAGCGTCAAGTTTCATGAAAGTCACACAGAGTATTCGACTAGTTTCCGTTTCCGTAGAAATGCGTACTTAGCTTTATGATACGAAGTTACATAGGTAGTTATTTTTTAATGAATTAACATATTATAACAATTTTACTAAATTATTGCTAATATAATAAATAATGATTTCTTAAATTTACGCGAACACTACACATTGAATAAAACTAATATTTACGGATTTTATCGCGTTTAATTACTATTTTAAACTTATTTTTTTATTATTCCGACGTTTCGGATGTTTTACAACACCCACGGGGATGAGATGTTTAACGTCCCAATGTCATAGTTAGTCCGGCCACCTTCAGTTTTTGAATATTAATTTTTGGTCCGATTTACGCAAAACGAGCTTATAGTATCATGAAGTCTTGCAGTGGTATGCTTGGGTTTGGGTTTAATTTTATTAATTATAGGATCCCAAGCAGATGGCAACACCCATCCATATTCTCTATTGTTGTTTGACACATTTTGGCGCCCCACGTTGGGCGAAATGTCGTAAAGCGACAGTTAAATACTAAAGAACCTAACCTAACAACAAAGAAAAAACCAAAAAAAAATAATTTATTTAAAATTTTAAAATATAAAAATATATGAAAATGATGATGGGGTTTCAAACTAGAAGCATCACGGAGTATGCACAGGCTATGCCTGTGGTAGGTGCGCAGCACCTGATCTAGGCACACGCGGCGTCTGGGGCCGGAGTAGGCACACGCAGCGCCCGGAGTAGGCACACGCAGAGTCTGGAGCATGTACACGCAGCGCTTGAAGTAGGCAAACACAGCGCTCGGAGTAGGCACACACAGCGCTCGGAGTAGGCACACACAGCGCCCGGAGTAGGCACACGCAGCGTCTGGAGTAGGTACACGCAGCGTCTGGAGCAGGTGGAGGCGTAGGCGTGGCTAGGCGACGACTTCAGGTGAAGGCAGATGCTTGCAGGATCCCGGGGCAGTGCGGATAAGGCCTTTAGGAGATGCTTCTAGTATGAAAGCTGAAGTGAGACTTCCTTTATTGGCCGATTGTTCGGCTTTTATACTTTTTGACGTATCTGGGATAAGAACGGGAAATTATTTAAATTAAATTTGAAATTATTTAAATTAAAAGCAAATTTTTGTAAATGGCCAAGAGGAAAAGAGTATTTATGTGAAAGTATGGAGTAAAAACATCAGACCGGTAACGAATTTCGAATAAAAATTGCCATGACAACCAGATAAACAACGATGTCAAAACATGTCAAATTTTGGTTTCAGGCTTGTAATAGAGAAACGGCAAGATTTAAGTGAAAAATGAGATATTATTGATATAGGAAAAAAGGTGGCGCAACAGCGCGCACGAAGACCGAAATTGCAGAGTTACGGAGAACTAAATAAAAGACCGAAAAAGGTAGACTCCATTGACACCGATTTAAAAAGTGCTGATAGCGTGAAAATACGATGTGAAAATAATTTGTTATTGTGTTCTTATGGTTTAAAAACGTTACAGGATCCTATGGAATTAAAGGTGATGCAAAATATCCAGTTTTGAGGCGAATGCAGAAAATCAAAAACAGAATGGAAAAATAAATTTAAAATAGTGTAAAATGATATGTAAGTAGCATAACACTACAATATATATACAAATATATATATATAGCTTGAATCTTCTGACTAAAATAAAATTATTTATTTTAGGGTGATCGTGGTGATTGCACAATATCGTCTACATCGAAAAAAGAAAGCTGGATGTTCCGGCAAAATTCCATAAGTTATCTCGAAAGTCTTAATTCGAAAAAAAAATCCTTATATAGCTCTAACTAGTCATACTCCCACTGCGAGTACGAGCCAACACTTAGGCCAAGGAAAATTAAAATGAAAAAATTCCTTGACATAAAAACAATAGCATAAAACAGGCTTCACAAGTTTGCAAGAATTACTATGCCCTAACACTTAACTATTACTCACCAAAAGCCTATCGCTATGTACCTAAACGTTTTGGAACATGTTAGCCTGCACCACGTACATTGACTAAGTGGTACACTATCATCGATACCAACCAGGGTTTACTCAAGAAGCGCTGACGGCATTTAAATTGAGAGTGGAGAGTAACTCTGATAAAATTTTTTATTGTACCTTGGTAATGAATGAAATGAAAATTAAGCAATTGACAGAATACCATTCTGGTAGCCAAAGGCATTATATGTATACGCAAAATGTCTTTTAAAACTTGCATGGTACTCCGTCAATTGTTTTATTTTCATTTCTTCTATCACTAATATAATATATTATATTATAATATAACTTCTTGTCAGGGTTACTCTCTGGTCTAAGTTTTATTTACTTATTTATTTATACTTATTTATTTATTTATAAGGTACACCAGCAGCAAAACACATTAAACATTAACAACACAACAAATGTATATGGTTAAATATGTTTGCCAATTACAGGTATACGCAACATTTACCGTAATGTGCAGCTCATTACACCACAATGGCACTGAATACAAAATAACTTACATAAAAAAAACTAATTAAGGAACGAGTGTGTGCTGAGAGGGTGAAATGAAATTGGTCAATTTCTTTGAAGCGTCGGGCAGAGTCGTTGAAAATGTCAATATCCGGTTTCTTGGTCATAATTTCATTGTATGTATTACATATTCTGGCTAAGGGATAATGCGCGCCTAAATTAGTTTTGTGGCAAGTTATGCTAAATAGTTTGCGAATTGGATATCGAGGATATCTGTACGGGATAACTAAATGTGTGCTTTAATGTGATCGAGGAGGATACTTTTGATTTTGTTATGCAGTAATTTGTGTAGGAACATTAAGTCTGCAATGAGACGTCGGTCACGTAAGGTTGTCATTTTGAAAAATGCTAACCTCTGACTATAGGGGTGTCTATGCGATATGCCTGGAGTCGAAGAGGCAAGGTAGCGTGTAAAAGCTCTTTGAATCGTTTCGATTCGCTGAGAAGACGCACTATAAACTGGGTTCAATGCAACACTTGCAAATTCGAGGTGGCTACGTACTAGTGCATTGAAAAGAACTTTCTTAGTTTGGACACATCGGAAGCTTTTCGCGTTTCTTTTTAGGAATCCCAACACACGAGTCGCCTTTTTGACGATATTATCAGTGTGAGCGGTCAGTTTCAGCTTACAATCCAACAAGACACCACGGTTCCTGATCTCCCTCACCTCCGCCAAGGTCACGTCACCCAATGAGTTAGCATTTGTTGGGATTTAAAATTATTCCGTTGATTGCACACCAATCCGTGAGTTTGTTTAAGTCAGATTGCAGAAGGTCAGCATCTCCGGGACTTTTGAACGTTCTACTCAATTTGAGATCGACAGCAAACATAGATACACTACTGTTTTCAATATATGTAGCTATGTCATTAATAAATATCAAAAAGAGTAGAGGTCCCAAGTGGGATCCCTGAGGGACACCAGACTTAGCCAAAAACATTTCAGATTCAAATCCATCTATAGCCACTTGCTGAGGTCTCATTGCCAGGTAAGATTCGAACCACTGCAACAGTGAACCACTTATGCCCATTACTCTTAGTTTAGACAGCAGGACTTGGTGGTCGACTTTGTCGAAAGCACTTGAAAAGTCTGTGTATATTGCGTCTACCTGCATTCCCCTGTCCACGTTCTGTGCTACCGCGGACACGAAGGAAGACAAATTAGACTCTACCGAACGACCACGCCTGAAACCATGTTGGAAATCGGATATAATATTTTCAGTATGGCTGTAGACTATGGGGTATACAAGGCATTCAAATAATGTAGAAAAACACGATAAAATGGAGATAGGTCGGTAGTTGGTAACATCAATCTTGTCACCTTTCTTATAAATTGGGATAATTCTGGCTTTTTTCCATTCAT